CTGCCTCCCGAGTGCTGGGATTAAAGGCATACGCCACCAACGCCCGGCCAAGCTCTAATTTTTTAAAATAAGTTTTAATAGCAAATGTGCATATTAAGGGCACTTATTAAATTTGTATCTAGATGAGATTGTCATTAAAGTAATATGATGACATAATTAAAATTACTGCATAAAGTTTCTCAGTAGCTGTCATAAAGTTACATCATCAAATAAAATGGTGGAGGATGTGTCAGGAAGATAGCTCAGTAAAAAATCTAGCCACACAAGCAAGCCTAGCAAACTGTAACCCATGTAAAAGCCTGGTGTGCTGGTGCACAGCTGTAACCTCAGTATCCACATAACAAGATGGAAGGTGTGGACAGGAGAATCCCCCAGAAGCTTCCAGGCCAGGTAGCTGGAAGTGCACAGTAGAGCAGCAGAAACAAGAGCCCTGCAACAACGAGGTAGAAGGTTAATAACTAACTGTTAAATTGTCCTCTAATGTCCACATGCCCAATAATATGCTTCCAGTGTCCAAATGCAGGCGGGCACCATGCTAAGATTTCACACAGGTCTACAGTCCCTCAAATGACTCACTTATTAGCAAGGTGTGCTAAAACCAGGAGATTATTAGTTTTGGTTTTTTTTTTATCTCTTACTGTAAAAACAAACATGCTTAGCTAGGCAGGGATGAGGTACCACACCTTTAATCCCAGCACTTAGGAGGCAGAGGCAGGCTGATCCTCTGTGCGTTTGAGGACAGCCTAGTCTGCAAAGTTGAGTTCCACAACAGCCAGGGCTACACAGAGAAACCCTGTCTGGAAAAATCAAAATGAAGTGTTTCTTCAGAAGCATGAACAGACTTGTTGTGCAGTGCTACTCCAAGCCTTGATAGGGTGATGTGTAAAAATGTGCACTAAATTTCCTTCCTAGATTCCTAGAATACTAGATGCAAAACAACCTGTAGGTTGTGCAGCTCCCCAGAAGAGGTTAACAGTGATAGTGCCCAGCACCCATTCAACACCACAACCATTAGCTAGCACTTCCTGGGGGTTAGGAAGATGGAGCAATATAGAATCTGAAGGCATGAGCTGCTACCATGCATCTGTACCTCTACTTCAGGCTCCCACTCTCCCCACCTCCTAACTGCCAGTTGTTCATCCGCCACTAGTGTGACAGCCACTATGTCTGACAATTCGTTCGCCATTAAAAAGAGAAACAGCTCAACTTCCAGCTTTATGTTTATAACTTTGATACTATACATATACACACAAATTCCCTCAATTGAAAAAAATCTACATACAAATGAAAGGTAAGTCATAATATTAGCACAATATGGTTTTCAGTAGTAAATCACTAGAAGTGACTTAAATATTCTTAAAGAGAAAATGGACAAAATAAAATAAACTCATGTGACTGGAGAAATGTTAAGAATACTGTTTGATAGAGAAAAGCTGAAGCTCAGCATATGATGTGAAACATAAGTTTATAGAATGTTGTAGATCATAATTATTTATGTATACAGAAAATAAATCATAAATTTCCATGCCATATATTAAAAGGACAGACACCAAAATACTAGAAGACGAACTACTTCTAAAGTTCTTCAGAGACCTAAGATTTTTATTTGCCTTTCTACCTCTTCTGTGTGGTACACACACCTTAAAAGAGTTTCATAAACTGCCTAAAAACTTTTCTGGAATGAAGTATGGTTTAGAGAAATAGCAGTCAGCTCAAGAAACATTGCTGAGCTATCAAATTAATGCCATGATGAAAAAGATTATGAAGCTCCCAAAGTGATCACTGATCTGTTCCTCTGTTCACACTACAAATCCTTTCCATGGTCATGGCAGTAGAAAAACAAAAGGTTGTCTACAACTCCCACTTTAGATCCTGTATGCTCAGGTAGCAAAGTCAGCTGGCTCATAAGAGGATGGCATGTGGGGTGGTTTGAAACAAAATGGCCCCCAAAAGGAGTGGCACTGCTAGGAGGTGTGGCTTTGTTGGAGTGGGTGTGGCCTTGTTGGAAGTGTGTCTCTGTGGGAGTGTGCTTTGAGGTCTTGTATATGCTTAAGTCACACCCAGTATCTCAGTTCACTTCCTGCTGCCTACAAGATGTAGAACTCCCAGCTACCTCTCCAGCACCATGTCTGCTAACACGCAGCTATGCCCCACCATGATGATAATGGACTGAACCTTTGAAAATGATAAGCTGCCACCTCAATTCAATGTTTTCCTTTATAAGAGTTGCTGTGGTCAAGGTGTCTCTTCACAGCAATAGAAACCCTAAGACAGCACGTTACAACATCCTTCCTTAGAGTAGGGTATGTAGCTCAGTAATAGAACACTTGCAAATAGCATGAACAAGGCTCTGGGTTCCATGTCCAACACACACACACACACACACACACACACACACACACACAAAATCAAAAAGTACATTAGTATGGACTAAAAATTACAAAGAAGAAAGATACATTTCTGAAACATCAAAGATGATTTTAATAATTCCTAGTAAACACTCTTTGGTGTCAGAAAACCTGTACACAGTACAGAAATGATCAGCATGTGACAAATATACTAAATGGCTGTTGAACACAACCTGTGTATCATTGTGTCCAGCTATAACCTCTAAGAATAATCACACTATATTACATAGGATTTCAATATCCAAGCAGTTCTCCATCTTTTGTATGATATTCAGAAATCTAGGCTACCTTGGATATAGTCAAAATTCACCACAGCTTCTCTTCTGCCCTAATAAACCTTGCCATCACGCTTTACCTGACCTTTCTACCTGTCCTCATTCACAGTCTATTCTCAACAGTACAAAAACAATATGCTTACATGTAGGTCAGATGACATCACTCTTTTGGTCAAACTTCTAGTGATTTTCTATCTCCCTTAAAGTTAATAAGAAAAGCCAAAGTCCTTACCATTAACTGTAAGGTCTGCTAAACTCCCTGGAATCTACTCCTCACTGTTAGCTCACTTTTGCTCAAGCCATAATGCTCCCCTTGCACAATCTCACCTTAGGACTTTGCACTTGTTTTTCCCCAGACCTAGAAAATACTTCATCTCCATAGGCCCACTAAGTCTGCTTTCTTGCTCCCTCACTGAAATGTCACTAAGTCCTTTGAGACTTTCTATTACATTTCTTAGCTTCCTTTTCTCCTTAAGTCTCATAATTATTTAACACAATATATATACATACTACACAGTCTAACTACATACAATACTTAGTATTTGCCCCACAAGCTCTTTTAGAGTAGGAATTTCTACCTCCTCTGTTCACTAGCATATGGTTAGTGCCTGAGAGTCAACAGATACTCAGTAAGCACATTCTGGAGAGACTCATGTTGGTAAATATATCTGGAACATTATAAGGGATCAATATGCTCATCTGCAAGTACATGACTATATGGATATTGAAATCTAGAAATAAGGCTGGTGGTGATTCATCTTTTGTATGATTTCTGGAGCCTGTAATCTAGCTCACACTGCTCCCCTACCAGGGCTCTCAAAGTCCCACCTTTGAAAATAGTACATTATTGCTGTGTTATTATTGACCATTTTTTGTTTTACATATTTCTCTCCTAAGTTTCTCCTATATAGCACCTACCATTATTTTTATTAATAAAACCAAATCTACTTATTTCAGAAAAACTGTACTGAAAATGTGCTACCTTTACTAAGCACACTACATATGCTACTCACTCAATCCCTACACCAATCTGAAGGGTATTCTATTTTCCCCA